ATCAATACCAGTCGAACAAGAGCAGAAAAAGCCAAGGCACAAGCTGAATACACAGAAGTAAACAAACAAGTGAAGAGGAGCATCAGAACCGACAAACGTAAATATGTGGAAGATTTAGCAACGACGGCGGAAAAGGCTGCAAGAGAAGGAAACATGAGACAACTGTATGACACGACAAAGAAACTCTCTGGAAATCGCCGCAAACCAGAACGACCAGTGAAAAGCAAGGAAGGCGAGGTAATCACCAACATTGAAGAGCAACAAAACAGGTGGGTAGAACACTTCAAAGAACTCTTGAATCGACCAGCTCCACTGAACCCACCCAACATCGAAGCAGCACCCACGGACCTCCCAATCAATGTTGGCCCACCAACAATTGAAGAAATCAGCATGGCCATCAGACAAATCAAGAGTGGCAAAGCAGCAGGACCAGACAACATTCCAGCAGAGGCACTAAAAGCAGACGTAGCGGCAACTGCAAGGATACTCCACATTCTCTTCAATAAGATTTGGGATGAGGAACAAGTACCAACAGACTGGAAAGAAGGACTTCTGATCAAAATACCGAAGAAAGGCGATCTCAGCAAGTGTGATAACTACAGGGGCATCACTCTTCTCTCAATACCGGGAAAACAGGATGAAGGGCTGCGTAGACGCCCAACTTCGTGACCAACAGGCAGGATTCCGTAAGGATAGATCGTGTACAGACCAAATCGCAACTCTACGGATCATTGTGGAACAATCAATTGAATGGAATTCATCACTCTACATCAACTTCATTGACTACGAAAAGGCATTTGATAGCGTGGACAGAACAACACTATGGAAACTTCTTCGACACTACGGCGTGCCTCAGAAGATAGTCAATATCATACAGAATTTATATGATGGATTAAACTGCAAAATCATGCATGGAAAACAGTTGACAAAGTCGTTCGAAGTGAAGACCGGTGTTAGGCAAGGTTGCTTACTCTCACCCTTTCTCTTTCTCCTGGTGATCGACTGGATCATGAAGACGTCAACATCTGGGGGAAGAATGGGATACAATGGACAGCTAGGATGCAGCTGGACGATGATGATCTGGCCCTCATATCCAAAACGCAACAACAAATGCAGGAAAAGACGAACAGTGTGGCAGCAGCCTCAGTAGCAGTAGGTCTCAATATACACAAATGGAAAAACAATATTCTCCGATACAAAACAGCATGCACCAATCCAATCACAATTGACGGAGAATATTTGGAAGATGTAAAAACCTTTACGTATTTGGGCAGCATCATTGATGAACATGATGTGTCTGATGCAGATGTGAAGGCGCAGAGCGGCAAAGCAAGAGCAGCATATTTACAAATGAGGAACATCTGGAACTCAAAACAACTGTCAACCAACACCAAGGTCAAAGTTTTCAATACATATGTCAAGACAGTTCTACTGTATGGGGCAGAAACCTGGAGAACTACGAAAGCCATCATCCAGAAGATACAGGTGTTTATTAACAGTTGTCTATGTAAAATACTTCCGATCCATTGGCCGGACACTATTAGCAACAACCTACTGTGGGAAACAACAAACCAGATCCCAGCGCAGGAAGAAATCAGGAAGAAACGCTGGAAATAGATAGGACACACATTGAGGAAAGCACCCAACTGCGTCACAAGACAAGACCTCACATAGAATCCTGAAGGCCAAAGGAAAAGAGGAAGACCAAAGAACACATTACGCCGGGAAATGGAGATAGACATGAGAAAAATGAACAAGAATTGGATGGAACTAGAAAAGAAGGCTCAGGACAGAGTGGATTGGAGAATGCTGGTCGGCGGCCTATGCTCCATTGGGAGTAACAGGCGAAAGTAAGTAAGTAAGTAAGTAAGTAAGTAAGTAAGTAAGTAAGTAAGTAAGTAAGTAAGTAAGTAAGTAAGTAAGTAAGTAAGTAAGTAAGTAAGTAAGTAAGTAAGTAAGTAAGTAAGTAAGTAAGTAAGTAAGTAAGTAAGTAAGTAAGTAAGTAAGTAAGTAAGTAAGTAAGTAAGTAAGTAAGTAAGTAAGTAAGTAAGTAAGTAAGTAAGTAAGTAAGTAAGTAAGTAAGTGAGTAAGTAAGTAAGTAAGTAAGTAAGTAAGTAAGTAAGTAAGTAAGTAAGTAAGTAGGTAAGTAAGTAAGTAAGTAAGTAAGTAAGTAAGTAAGTAAGTAAGTAAGTAAGTAAGTAAGTAAGTAAGTAAGTAAGTAAGTAAGTAAGTAAGTAAGTAAGTAAGTAAGTAAGTAAGTAAGTAAGTAAGTAAGTAAGTAAGTAAGTAAGTAAGTAAGTAAGTAAGTAAGTAAGTAAGTAAGTAAGTAAGTAAGTAAGTAAGTAAGTAAGTAAGTAAGTAAGTAAGTAAGTAAGTAAGTAAGTAAGTAAGTAAGTAAGTAAGTAAGTAAGTAAGTAAGTAAGTAAGTAAGTAAGTAAGTAAGTAAGTAAGTAAGTAAGTAAGTAAGTAAGTAAGTAAGTAAGTAAGTAAGTAAGTAAGTAAGTAAGTAAGTAAGTAAGTAAGTAAGTAAGTAAGTAAGTAAGTAAGCAAGTAAGTAAGTAAGTAAGTAAGTAAGTAAGTAAGTAAGCAAGTAAGTAAGTAAGTAAGTAAGTAAGTAAGTAAGTAAGTAAGTAAGTAAGTAAGTAAGTAAGTAAGTAAGTAAGTAAGTAAGTAAGTAAGTAAGTAAGTAAGTAAGTAAGTAAGTAAGTAAGTAAGTAAGTAAGTAAGTAAGTAAGTAAGTAAGTAAGTAAGTAAGTAAGTAAGTAAGTAAGTAAGTAAGTAAGTAAGTAAGTAAGTAAGTAAGTAAGTAAGTAAGTAAGTAAGTAAGTAAGTAAGTAAGTAAGTAAGTAAGTAAGTAAGTAAGTAAGTAAGTAAGTAAGTAAGTAAGTAAGTAAGTAAGTAAGTAAGTAAGTAAGCAAGTAAGTAAGTAAGTAAGTAAGTAAGTAAGTAAGTAAGCAAGTAAGTAAGTAAGTAAGTAAGTAAGTAAGTTTGTAAGTAAGTAAGTATTGTGATGACAATTACTGTCGACACGATCAAGTAGTAGTGGATGAACAAACTTCCAACCAATCACAATGTTCACTCATGTTTCTTCGACAATTATAATATGGTTAGAACTGTGGTTTGTTACAATGTTTGTAATTAGTCATCACCAAATAAGAAAACAGTGAAATGGAATCAGTCATCGTAGTGATTATTACTATCATTAATATTACTATTGTTATTATAACTATTGTTATTGTTATTGTCGTGACGGTCTGAATAATATTGGTGTATGGTTTTGTGTAGATTGCAAAATGGTCACAGTTTGGAACATAATGTGATCGTAGGTAGACGACCATGGAAGAGCAGAAAGCACTGGAGAGTTATTTTGTTGTAGTATGGGACTCTTCATCGATGCACGTGTATGACTTTACCGGAGGAGTCGTACTCACAGTCTAAGAGATTTAGATGACTTTTTATCTGATACATTAATTATGCTCGTTGAACTCTTATAATGTTATGTGATTTTTATCTGTTAACTATAGCATGAATTTCTAGTCGTAAATGAAACATTTATATGATAACGAGACCCAATGGTTTGGCATTTGCACATCCTAATTGTTGAATTCTTGAGTCGATTTAAGCTAGACCACAACTGAAAACCCGGAGGCAGCGGACGACCGTTTTGTTCTGGTTTGGAACTTCTTATTTGTGCGCATCCATTATCCCTCTCCAAATATACTCGATTCAAATATCTTCGGTTTCACGTGCGAACACTTAACCTTCAGACCAGTGAGGCGACATACAACCGTGTTAATGTCCAACTTCAATCTATACATGATCTTGTATCACTCTTTCTCGATTGTCTGAGATGGATAAATTTCTCCACCGGAATACAATTCGCAGAAATCGCCATTTTGATAATAATCTTGTGCTCACTAATGACTAGCTTCAAGATAGATTTCCTGGAGTTCTCGGGAGAATCAGTGATCAGTGGAGTTCAACCAGGTCTGTTATGAGATAGTAACTCACTAAAGACAATGGTGGATGTTTCACTCAATTTCATGAATTAGTTTAAGTTAGACATTAACACCGTCGATCTAATTGTTAAGTGATCGCGTACGCAAGACTGACAGGTCATGGGTTAGAATGTCTCGAGGCAGGATCGTGAATACTCACTGCAAAAGACAAGTCTCAAAATAGTATGAAATCACCATCCAGTGTTCCCAGGTTTTCTATTAACTCATAATCTCAACTACTCAAATTACTACAATATCCACAAAAACCCATTCTGATATTAAGTTCCAGTTTCACAATTTGTAAAACAAATCAATTTGGCAGATTGAAATCATGAGTCAATTGAGGCTAGACCACCATGGAAAACCTGGAAGTACTGGACGGCCGTTTCGTCCTAGTATGGGACTCCTTAGCAGTGCGTACCCACGATCCCGCACCCCACGAGATTCGAACCCAGAACCTATCGGTCTCACGGCAAGTGCTTAACCAACTAGACCACTGAGCTTCCAGGTTTTCCATGGTGGTCTAACTTCAATTGGCTCATCATTTCAATCTGTGAAATTTCTAAAATCTCCACAAACCCCTTCTGATAATAAATCACTTTGAATGATCAAATTTTCACTAGTCTATGCTTCATTTTTAAGGATGACAAATTGTATATTGAATACACAACATACAAACATTCTGTTTACATATTCATACATATATATATATATGTGTGTGTAATGTCATATAAATGAATATCCAAATAAGGAAGTACGCCTGTAATTAACAATAATAAGGATTATATTCACATATTATTGAAATAGGTCATTCGTACTTAATGTTTCAGACATGATTTTATAGATCATATGAAAGTCATTATATGGTGATACATGCATATGCTGATTATACGTGTACATACAATAAGACAATTAGACATGTATAAAAGTTCATTATGAAAATAGTATATAAACCGATCATCATTTATAACATTTCATTCATAATACGCTATATGAATAATTATGATGATGTTAACATTCATTCTGTTTACATTAATTCTACATATACATTGTAATACTGATATTCATACAACTATTTCTATTAAGGATCAACTAGATAATGATCTAGATCCATTGAATATAACAAATGATCCTACTGCTACTACTACTACTACTACTAATAATAATAATAATAATACAGACACCATTTCATCTATATTCAATCCTAATGTAACTTATGTCATTTTACCAACAGTATTTTATTTAGGTCAAACTAATTTAATTACTGTACGTAGTCGTGAACCAAATACACAATTATATATTTCTATGAATGTCACTGACTTATTACCGAATATAATTGAAGATCCAAATCAAATTTATTCTTTAAAACAATTAAATACAACAGATTATTGGTATGGTTTAGATATACCATATGAAATCCCGTTTATTTTTACACATGATCATTCTATATGGGTTAAATTAATATTTCATTTCACTCATTGTTTAAATCATAAAACTAATCTTATCTCTAATAATCATCATAATAATAGTGAGAAGAATGGATCATGTATTGATTATAAAACAACTGAAGTAATCCATTCTATTCAATTAAAACAATTACCATTAATTACATTTGGTGAAACGGATAAACCAATTTATAGACCTGGTGAATATGTACGTTTTCGTTTTTTAACCTTAAATATTCATAATTTATTACCGATATCAACGAATATTTTGTTGCCAACAAAGAAATTATTCATACAAAAAGGTTCTAAAGGTCAATTAATTGAAATGAATCAATTAGACTTATATAATTGGTATCATATTATATATGATAGTATTACTATTATAGATCCTATGGATAATACTATGAAACAATGGTTAAATCTAACATCTAAACAAGCATATAACTTAACTTTCCCTATATTAAATAATAGTAAAGAAGGTAAATGGAGAATACAAGCTACCATTAAAAATCATAATATTGAAACACTTGAATTTACAGTGAAAAAATATACATTACCAAAGTTTACTGTAACATTAGAAACACCGAAAAATTTTACTATGGAATCAAAATATGTTCAATATTCAATCTGTGCAAAATATACAAATGGACCACCATTAAAAGGTTATATACAATCCATATTATGTGCATGTCATGAATATATATGGGATAAACAATTTTCTAAATTAGATAATGAACAAATTATTCAATCATTATTAAATACACCTAAATGTCCATCGGATCATTATGAAACAAAAACAAGACCATGTATTATCATGAATTATCCCTTAGATACAAATGGTTGTAAACTAGTTAATATATCAACTCATCCATTTGCCTTAGCAACTAATCAATATTCGAAATGGCAACAAATAAGTATATTATGTACACAAGTTATAGAAGAGGATACAAATTCTAAATTATTTAATTGTATCAAAGGTGATCTGATTCAACAAATTTATCAACCAAGTATACAATTAGAATTACCACAAGTATATAAATCAAAATTACCAATTTTAGGTAAAATTAAATTAAAAAATTTTGATCAAACTATAAATTATAGTGTGAAATTATCTGTGACAGATCAAAAATGGGGTTGTTATTGGCAAAATCTGGATCAAAGTAATGAACATTATTTAAATATTCTACCAATAAATTCATCTGGTGAAAGTACTTTTTCTATACCACCAATTACATCAAAACATTCTATATCAATTGAAGCTGAATTATTATCATCATCAATGAATTCAACAAATTCATCATTATCATCATCATTGACAAATAGCACCAATTCAATGAATCAAAATCCATCACATTTTTATTATTGGTCATCTAAACAACCATGGATACAAGAGAATAGAATTATTGAAAGTGTTATATTAAGATCATGGGATTCAATCAATCAAATTTATTTACAATTATGGCCACCACGTGATAAAATTATGACAACATGTCCAAATAGAATCCAATTAACATTATTATCAAATATACGTTTATCAGATAAAGCAATTTTTATAGAATCTGTGATCAGGGGTAAACATCAACAAATTATTATACCAGCATTGAATAAACTACCTAATCATTTAGATCATAATGATTATTGTATTAATCGTGATGATGAATTAGGTCATTATAATTGTTTAAGTTGGAATTCAACAGAAATTCAATGTTTACCTGGTTGGACTGGTGAAAATTGTTTAATTCCTATATGTTCTATAGAATGTAATAAAATGGTGGATTTTGTTCAAAACCTAATCAATGTCAATGTAAATCAGGTTGGACTGGAATAACATGTAATCAATGTATTAAACGTGAAAATTGTTTACATGGTAAATGTTTACTTGGTAATGATTGTGTATGTGATTCTGGTTGGACTGGTTATTTATGTGATAGTAAAAAAGTAATTTATGAAAAATTTGAAGATGATAATGAAACAAATCATACAGAAAGTGTTACCGAAGAAATAACTAATCAACAACCTGTGGAACATTCTATTACAAATTCATCAAATGAAAAGATAAATATAAAACCAATTCGTACACTATATCAACGTAATATAGAATTTCATATTGATGGTTCATGGGGACCACAATTTACTGCGATACTTTATATTCATCATTATCATCATCAGCAGCATGATCAAATGATACCTGAAATTATTTCCACACAAATTACAATAGAACAAATTGATAATTGTTCAAGTAATGCTATTGCATTACAATCAATATCTAATCAAACTAATTTAAAATTAAGTCAAACGATAGTAGATCCTGGTGAAAAAATTCAAATGATTATCAATCCACAAGGTTTATCTCGATCAATCAATCATTCTGATATAAAATCAATAAAATTCAATCAATATTATGATCATGATCAATTATTCAATGAATTATGCTTTATTCGTATTTCTGATATATCATTAGATAATTACCATGGTGATAAAAATTTAATCAATTTACAATATTTTAATAATAAATTAATTGAATTTATTAAAGAAAGTGAATATAGACCATTAATTGCTAGTTCAACACAAGAAGCATTTTTAGCTGCTGGTTTTCAAATTGGTTCAACTTATCCAGAACCAACTTTTATTCAACGTGTTTATCCATGTCCTTATTTAGCTTATTCAAATTCATTAGATATTGTAATGGATGATAGTGTTGATGATAGTGTATATAAAACAAGAAATTCTCAAACAGATTCATTACGTAAAAAATTACATCATGTAATGAAACCAAGATTAAGAGATTTCTTCCCTGAAGTATGGTTATTCGATGTTATACCGATTACTAATTTACCAATTAATGATGCTAATAATGAAAATGATATTAAAATTATGGAATTCAAACAATCTAATACATTAAAAGGTATTGAACTTAATCTTACTGTACCAGATACTATAACAAGTTGGAGAGCATCAGCTTATTGTACAACAAAAGAGAATGGTTTATGGATTGGTGAAACACAAATTTTAACTGTAACTATGCCATTTTATATTGAAATCACTTTACCAAAAGAAATGAAACGTGGTGAAATTTTACACATTCCTATTAGTATCTTTATATTAGATAGAAAATATCTAAATCCTATTCATAATCATCTTAATCAAACAGAATGTTATGCTACTATAATGAGAATACAATTAAATAATACGGAATGGTTAATAACTACATCTAATGAATTTACTGGTTGTATATGTTCTGGTGAAAAATTAACTTATTTAGTTGGTTTATTACCACAACAATTAGGTCAATTAAATGTAACTGTTGAAGCATTTGCTAGTAAACATAGTGAATCTTGTGAATTCATTCAAACAAATAATAATGATATTAGTCAAAGTTTAATATTTGAATCACAAATGAAAATAAATCAATCTAAATTATTATCTGATAAAATAACTCGTCAAATTCATGTCATCCCTGAAGGTATTCAACAAGAAACAACACTTAGTGATATTATTTGTTTAAATGAACAACAAACTACATCAATGCGTCATTTTGAATTTATGATACCTAATGATATTATTAAAGATTCATTTCATAGTTATATATCATATAGTGATGAAGTATTAGGACCAGCATTAGTCAATTTAGATAATCTTATACGTTTACCAACTGGTTGTGGTGAACAAAATATGATATTAGTAGCACCAAATGTTTATATATTAGATTATTTAAAATCTACACCAAATACTGGTTTCAATGATAATAAAGAAAAATATATACAATCCGCTCAATCTTATATTGTATCTGGTTATTATCAACAAATGAAATATCGTCGTGATGATGGATCATTTTCTGCATTTGGTCAATCGGATAAACATGGTAGTACATGGTTAACAGCATTTGTATTACGTGTATTTGCTAAAGCTTATCTATTACAATCCAATTTAACGATTGATTGGAATCATTTATTTAATGGTACTATAAATTACTTATTAACTCATCAAAATAATGAAACTGGTTGTTTTGAAGAATATGGTAAAGTATTATATTCTCCATTACAAGGTATTAGTGGAATAGATGAAATACAATGGAAAGATATTCTACTAACAAGTTATGTTAGTTCAGCATTATTTGAAATACAATCAACATTGAATAAAGATAATCATGAGAATTATTTACATGTTAAAATTTATACTACTGAAATAAGTAGATCATTTGATAATGCTTTCAAATGTTTAAATAATAAATTAATGAGCCTTAATTCTTTGAATGAGATACCTACATCAGTACTTGTTCAATTAAGTTATACTTATACAATAATTAGACCATATGATGATATAACTATACAACTTCAAAATGAAACAATTCATAGAAAACAAATTGAACATGATCAATTTGGTACAAAAATATATTGGTCAATGAATTCTAATGAAAATCATAGCATAGTAACTGAACAAAATCAAAATGAACCACGTAATTTAGAATTGACAGCTTATGCATTTTTAATGTACAATTCTATGAATCAATCTATTCATGATTTATTTCCAATGATTCGATGGATTAGTTCAAAACAAAAATCAAATGGTGGTTTTTATTCCACACAAGATACAGTACTTAGTCTTGAAGCAATTGCTGAATTTGCTAAACGATTAGGTTTATCAAAACCTTTAGATTTCAATGTATCTTCAAATCTACTTATGATTTCAAATAAAATGAATTATGGTAATTATACATTGAATGATTTAATGACACCAGATAAACGACAAGTGATTAATCAAATTGAATTACCTCAATATCATTTCAATGATCATAATGATAAGATTATACATTCTATTTGGGAATTAAAAATGAATCAATCACAAACCGATTGTATATTAGTACAAAATACATTTATATATAATTTACCTGAAAAGAGAAATATTAACAAAAAGATTAAATTATCTTTGGATATTATTCAACAAAATCAATTATCAGATATGAACTGTAAATTAGCTACATTATCCATGTGTTTACAATTGAATCATATGAAAAATTTAAGTACTATCAGTACTGGAATGTTATTAATACGTGTTGCTATGGTAACTGGTTGGGAACCAATCTTAGAAGAATTACATTTACAATTAGGTTCTGATGATGAATCCTTAAGAAAATTTACTATCAATGATCAAAATGAAATTTCATTATATTTTGATGAATTTTCTCAAAATGAAACAATGAAATTCGATGGTGATTGGACAAAATTAAAACGATGTGTTAATTTACCATTAAAACAAACACATTATGTACAAAATGCTAAATTAGCAACAATCACTGGTTATGAATATTATACACCAGATGAAAGTGTTACAATCCCTTATCAATTAGATGAATGTAAACAAGGATGGAATATCACTATCAATGAATCATCAATAGATCATTTTACTGAATCTATTATAACTACTGATAGTTCTATAGAGAATATAATAACTCCACAAATGAAACCAATTTGTCCATTATGTATAGATCAAATGAATAATACAATATTACTTGCTGATGAACTATTTACATCCGTATGTAATTATACAAATGGTATATTTCTTATCAAAGTTTTAGAATATAATAACAATGCTATCAATGTGACAATCATTCAAATATCACAATCTGGTTATACAGCAAGTTGGAATACAACTATATTGTTACCTAATCTTATAGAATGTTCATGTCAATTAATCCATACACATCAGTATTTAATATTATTTTTTGATCAATATACTACTATTTATCAAGGTATTGCTCAAATTGATTTCAATACATTAAATATAACCGCTAAATTGATATCTACTAATGATATATTACCTCATTTAGAATTAGCATATCAAAAATGGTTAACTATATCAACCAATTTAACGAGTAATGAAGATTCTAATTATTATGATTTCTTTACTTATAATTGTAAACGATTACCATGGATAATTAAATATATTGAAGAGCGATTTATGAATTAAACCATTTGTAATATGAAATAATGATAAGTTTTGGAAAAACAAAAACAAAAAAACTGGAAAAAAAAGAGTAATCATTTTACCTTTTTGCGTGGGCGTATATATATATATATATATATATATATATATATATATATATGTGAATTCACCTTGACGACATATTTTGTGCTTACGATTATTATGATCCTCTTTTTTCCCCAAAGTAAATATTGATTAAAGAATAATCTTTTTTCTTTTGTGTGTGTGTTTAAATCAATAAAAACTTTATTTAGACAATAATTCGTTTTGATATTACAATTATAGTTTAGATGATCATATTCATTATCAATATCTGATAGCTGGAATGTTTGGTAATGGTTTTGATCGAGTTTTGTTCTTTCAGCAAAATAGTTTTGGTTGTGTTTTTTGTTCATTTACTTACGTAGTTAGTTAGTTAGTTAGTTAGTTAGTTACTTACTTACTTACTTACTTACTTACTTACTTACTTACTTACTTACTTACTTACTTTCGCCTGTTGCTCCCAATGGAGCATAGGCCGCCGACCAGCATTCTCCAATCCACTCTGTCCTGGGCTTTCTTTTCTAGTTCCATCCAATTCTTGTTCATTTTCTCATGTCTATCTCCATTTCCCGGCGTAATGTGTTCTTTGTCTTCCTCTTTTCCTTTGGCCTTCAGGATTCCATGTGAGGTCTTGTCTTGTGACGCAGTTGGGTGCTTTCCTCAATGTGTATCCTATACATTTCCAGCGTTTCTTCCTGATTTCTTCCTGCGCTGGGATCTGGTTTGTTCTTTCCCACAGTAGGTTGTTGCTAATAGTGTCCGGCCAATGGATCCGAAGTATTTTGCATAGACAACTGTTAATAA